AACCCAAGTTGCCTACATATGGTGATAAAGTTCCCACCAAATCGTTGTTTTCAAGATCTAATTCCACGACTCGTTGTGGATGCTTAACACCACAAGTAACACCCGACCACTTACAGCGAGGGAGGGAGTCATATCCAAGAGCTCAAAAAACCCGTCGAGGGTCCTCACTAATTTTGGACTTGATCTCTAAGAGGGCAACACGGTCTACATTATTTGTAGGCAAGACATGCAGTGTAAAACGTACAGGTTTGAGAACTGGATAAACAAAATGACTAGAAAGGCGAATATGAGATTCGTAACTAAATTTGATACGTATAAAATGTTAGATTTTGGGAAAACTCTTCAATCTGGAGTGTGACGTACCGTACCATTGATCAATATATATAGAGTTTTAAAAATATTGTAAACATAGTACGATAATGATACAAAATATATACAATTATCATCCTAATTTAATAATAATAATAAATAATTTTAAGTTATTCATGTACTAGGGATTTATGAACTACTTTACCTTTTTTTTTGTTTGGTACTTCACGTTTATTTAAGTCTAAATGCTTGGGTTAGATTCTCAGTAAACCCCTTTGAGAGGAGCTTTCTTATTTCCAAATCTTAACATGAGTGTTTTACGATGAGTTTCAAAACATTGTTTTGACCTGAACGATACTTTTAAGATACTTAAAGGCAAATCAACATAAATAAATGACGGTTATGTAAATATTACGGAGTAGTTTCCAATTAAAGTATTAGGTATTTAATAAAAAGGTAGAAAGTAGACCTAATCAAAGACAGTTTGAAAATTGTTGAATTTGGAAAATAATTTTGGTCTGACCCAACTCATTTTTTAAAAATTGGATTTTTGAAGTCCTAAAATTTAATTTTAATTAAAATTTTAACTCGATTTGATTTTGACCCAAATTTTTTTTATTAATACCCCAAATAGCAAGTTTGCAGTTTGTAATAGTTGGACTCGCATCCAGTCAGAGTTGGTTGGTTTTGCGACCAGAAATAAACACTTAATATAACAAAATTGAACATTTTCTAACTGAACATATTTTACAATTTTGTTCATTATAAAATCAATATATGTTCATTCCCATGTGTTTTATGTTCACTTGTGAATAATTTACTATTAAAGAGTATATTAATGATATTCAGGTTAATATTAGCAAAATATTCATAATCATAAAACTGTAAGTTTATTTGTATATCATGCTAATAAAAAAAATTATTTATTTGTTTATTTCAATTTTCAAAAATATGAAATTAGATGCTCATTTGTATTACAGATGTTTTGTATTTCTCAATACTTGAATGTTCATTTTCATGCAATATGATGTTCATTCTTATAAAATAAATGTTCATTTTCATGCATTATGATTTCACTTGAAGCTTATAAAAATATTGATTAATAAGCAACAACATTATATGTTCATTTTTATTTACAACTGAAATGTTCAGTGATATAATATTAGATGTACAATTTATTTTTTTAGTTTCATAGTCTCTTTATTTTAGGGGTAGCAATTTGGGTCAGCAAGTCAGGTTCGGGTAAGATTTCGAGTCAATTTCGGGTTATGCTTAGAAACTATCAAAAATATGTAAAACTTAATATTATTACGAAATATGAAATTTGGGTCAAATTAGGTCGAGTTCGGATCGTTCGGGTTCGATTCAGGTTTCTCTCAGTAACTTCAAGTCGGGTTATCGGGTTTGGGTCAAGGATTGTCAGCCTACTTTATTTTACTCTTATATATTATAAATGTTCATTTTTATATATTGCAATGTTGATTTCAAGTTTTAGATATTTTTCCTTTTGATTTGTAATTCATTTTTCATTAAAAAAAATAATTGTTCATTGTTATTTAATAAAATATTCATCTCAAATTTTTGATATAAATTTGCACTTTTAATGTTACTTTTCAAATATGTTTAACTACTAAATGTTCGTTTTTTTTTTTTCTGGTAAATGTTCATTTTTGTTGGAGAGGACCAACCATTTTCAAATATATTCAATACTAAATGTTCATTTTTGTTACTTCCTCCGTTCTTTTTTAATTGCATCATAGGAGATTTCACGCTTGTCAATGCATTACTTTAGCTATTAATATCTTTAATTATACCTTTGTAAAAATTATAAAAAATTGATATTTGGAAAGAAGATTTCGAGATGAATCTAACTAGATTCCACATGACAATGTTTTTCTTTATGAATAAATTACAAAAGATGGTCAAAGAAGATTATGTGAATAGTGTGAAAGTCAAAGTGATGCGATAAAAAAAGAACGGAAGAAGTATAATAAATGTTCATTTCTAGTCGTAGGATCAGTCAGATCTGACTGGACGTGGGTCTAGCTTAAAATTTGTGGCGAATTTGGATATGTTTTTCAGCCCAGCCCAAATCCTTGGCCTAAAATCCGCCAATTTGTTTGGCAAGTCTGACCGTGATCTCTCAAAAAAGAGTACAGTAAAAGAGAAAAAGATCAATATATACGTTGTATTTTACTGAAAGAATTGTGTACTTGTACTTTTAGTGACGCCGCCTAATACATTCGAAATTATTGAAGGATGGCAGTGATTCAGTGAAACAAATGCAGCCTGCAGTTTGTGGGACCCTCAAGACACGAGGATATTTGATCATGATTGTATTATTGGGATATATTGCTAACACCAAAGTTGATATTGTCTACATTTATAATTAGGGGATCCACTCAAATAGTTATCAGCAAGTGTACCTACATTAATTTATTATTTGATAGTTAGAAGTTGTGTCGTTGATAATTATACTTATTTCGGCAATGTAAAAACGGTTTGGCAGTTCGGTTTGAAATCGATTCGCTTTGAAATCGGGTTGGTTTGAAATCGGTTTAAGTATGTTATGGGTCAGTTTCAGTTCGGTTTAAACAATTATCGATTCGATTCGGTAACAGTTCATTCTTGAACAGTTTAAATTCGGTTCGGGTTGTAAACGGTCCAGGTAGTAAACGGTTCGGTGCAGACGAGTTGCGGTTTGTTAACGGTTCGGTGTAAACGGTTTTTATCCCGTTTCCAACAGTTTTTGGGTTAGAAATAGTTCGATTTTTTTTTGGGTTCAATTTTATTTTAGTTCGGTTTATAACTGGTTCGGTTCGTTAACAAGTTCGGTTCTTCTACGATTTAACATCATTTAGATCGGTTTTATTTCAGGTTTACTAAATTATGGTTCGGGTCTGTTTTTGATTTCAAAAAATCGGTTTTTATCGAGTCGTTTGGATTTGGGCAATTAAACGGTTTTGGTTTGAAATTTAATAGTATTTTCTAACTTTTTGCTGGCTAACAAGTTTTATATCAAGCCGAGAGTTGATCACTTTATATTTAGGCATCATATTATATATAAATTCCCATTAATATTATAAATACATATCATGTTATGTTTCAAGTTTAGCCATACTGATCTTACTAGTTTATTACGAAGTAGATTATAAAATTTTAGTGCATTAATGTATTATTGTTTTGCTATCAGATTATTATCTGCTTCTTATTTGATCATTTAATTAATAGTGTCATAATCATGATTTGATGACTTGTTGTGACATCGAAATTTGCAATTTGGTATTCGATACTTAATTAGTCAACAAGACTGATAATTAAGACTCGTTTATCATTATATATTTGCATAAAGTTATATATGAAGATATTACAAAGTAGTTTGATTTATATAATGAAAGAAAACATTAATGATTAAAAAGGTAATATTGATTCTTCAATCGATTATACATACACATAACATCTAACCATCTCATATTCTCATAGTTAAATATTTATTTAGGGAAAAAGTTATGTGCTAGAAACATGTGTGCATAATTAGATTTCATTTAAAATACCTTTTAACTTGGTTTTAATCTTTTCTTTACAGTAAGCGGTTTGTAAATGGCTTGATTTATAAGCAATTCTGTTTATAAGCAGTTCGGTTTATAATCGGTTCGATTTATAAACTGTTTGGTGCAAATGGGCTGCAATTTGTAACAGTTCGGTGTAAACGGTTTTTATGCCAGTTTAAACGGTTCGATTCATTTTCAGTTCAGTTTTCTTTCAGTTCGGTTCTTAAACGGTTTAACGTTACTCGGATCGGTTCGGTTTCGGGTTTACTAAAATGCGATTCGGGTCGGTTTTCGGTTTCAAAAAATCGATTTTTAATCGATTTGGTTCTCATTTGGGTCGGTTGGATTCGGGCAGTTAAACGGTTTCGGTTTGAAATTTGACAGTGCTACTTACTACACATGACGACATGACCCTTATTTATTTTAAGAAATAAGAAGTAATCAATAATAATAAGTTGCAAGTAAGATAAATTAAATTTTAATGGTTAAATTTCAAATTTGGGAGTTAAATCTAAATAACTCGGTTTTCTATTGCGGGAGAGGACACGTAACATCAATACAAATGACAATGAGTAAGACTGATACTTGATAGTTTGAAGGCGTTTGGTTCGCAGAGTGGTATGGCCGGTTTGGAATCAGTGATGGGATTAAGGTGATATCGGGTTGAAACTAGATACTTAATATCATGTATTTGGTTCAATTCTGGAATGGAATCTCATCCCCTTAATACCATGTATTTGATACCTAAGGAAATGGAATGAGCCAAACCTGACCCACCCCCCCCAAGGTTTTCAAACCCCATACGAGGTATGAGTTTAAAATTCATATATACTTTTGACAACCAAACATATGGATGGTTTGGCTTTTAGTCATTCTAAACTCATACCTCATAATTATATTCCGCGAACCAAACGCCTATTCAACGTTCTTTTTTTATAATACTTCGCATATTTAAAAATTGAATGACAATGATGACTTAACAAGCGATAATTCACTAATAATAATGATCAACTCAAAAGATGACACATACTTTGGTGACAAATAAAATCTGATAGTTGAATACCGTCATTATCATATAAGAAGTAAGTCCCAAAAATAAATGGTACAACGTACTACCCTACTTAAAATACTATTAAATGCAAGATCATAAATAAGAATCACAAACAATATTATAGCACCAATTCATGAGTTGGCCAATTTGAAGATTTTGAGCACTCAATAGTTGCACGCATTGACAATATAAGATGGAAGTTTCTCTTTCATAAGTAATCAAAAAGTTGTTTGCCGGTAAAATTTGTCTCTTTAATAATCCCCTTTATCTTTGTATGACCAGTCCCCTTCTTTATTCTTCCTCCTTTAATTTACATTTTAACCCCACCCACTTTAACTTGAACTTAAATTAAATCCTGTAACCGTTGATATCATATCATTCTAACCTTATTCTTTACAAAATTCTTTTCATACCTTATATTAAAAACTTCCCACCTTGGTTTTTTTCCTACCCATTTCCAAAATTTTCAACTCAAACAAAATATAAAACATGGGACTCCTAGGCGACATAATAGGCAAGGTCAAAGACAAGGCGTCAATAGGCAAAGCAGCCCTCCTCTCCCGCAACCACACCACGGCAGCGCTCCGTCTCACCGTGTTACGCGCAACCAGCCACGAGGCCGATACACCACCCCAAGAATCCCACCTTGCGGCAATACTTGCCGCAGGAGAAGGTCCACGTACGGCAGCAGCCGTAGTGATCGACGTTCTCATGCGGCGACTTCACAAGACCTCTTCTTCAGCTGTAGCAATAAAATCACTCTTAGCTCTCCACGTCATTGTCCGACGTGGAAACTTCATATTACACGACCAACTTTCTGTTTACCCCGCTAGTGGCGGGCGTAACTACCTTAAACTCTCCGATTTTCGGGACAACTCGTCTCCGATAACCTGGGAGTTGTCCACCTGGATCAGGTGGTACGCCAAGTACCTGGAGCAGATCTTGTCTAGCTCCAGGATACTCGGGTATTTTTTGTTTTCGACGTCGTGTAGCCTCGAGAGGGAAAAGGGTAAGGAAATCATCGCCTCGCTTTTATGCAAGGACTTGTTAAGGGAGATTGATGGTTTGATTAATATACTAGAGGAAATTTGTAAGAGTCCTGATTGTGTTCATTTAGAGGGTAATAAGTTGTTACTAGAAGTTATGGGATTAGTTGGTGAAGACTATTTTACTACGGTAGATGAGATTGTTATTCGAGTTGAGGAATTCAAGGAACGATTGAGTTGTTTGAGTTTTGTTGATTCGGTTGAGCTGGTTTGTGCTCTTAAGAGGTTGGAGGACTGTAAGGAGAGGCTCGGCGCGTTGTTCGAGGTAAATGGGTCGGGTTTGGTTGAGGATTTGTGGTGTTTAGTGAGTGAGATGAAGGATAAAGTTGGAGAAGTGAAGGGGTTTAAGGAGGAGAAGATGGTGCTAAGTTGGGGTAGGTTCGAGTCGGCTCGGTTCGGGGAGCGGGTTAAGCCTCAAGACTCGGTTCAGTTTGCGTCTAACCGGTTTGCGTTTCAGTTTGCTTATGGTGAGCTTGTAAGGTGAGGTGAGGTGATCTTAGTTAATTTAGGAAATTAAGGCTTCTTAATTACTTTTATTTTTTATTTTATTTTTTTGTGCTTTTTTGGGCGTAATTGGTGGGGGGTATGAGGAAGGGGGTTTACTTTTTGTATGTAAATCTCTGCATTTTAGCAAAATTTGTGACTAATTTTGTTTTTTTAGATTGGTTTAAAGGGATGATCGATATGTTTGTATACTTTATTATTGAATTGTCAACTTAAGTCCTAGTCTAAAATTGGGAAAATTTTTCTTCCCCTATAACTTGTATGTACTATGACTACTATCTCAAATGTAACACTTTTCATATAATTTTTAATGCGCGTACAAATATTTAAAAAATCTTGAATAAGAACAAGTATTATGGAGTATACAAAAACTATATGGAGACAAATAAAATATAATGATTTAAAGTTTTTTGTTTTATATTTGTTGAAAACTTATTATTAAAGTTCATTTACGTGACGAAAATTCAAATTATTGATATGTTAATGAACGGGTGAATATGACAGCCATCAAACAAGGTAAGAGTATTAAAGCGAAAAGTAATCAGAAAATGTATTACATTGATATGACAAAATTGGAAGTTAATGATGACAATAAGAAATCAAAGCCGAATGATTGCTACAAGCATGACGCGCATACTACTAATCTTCTATTCCAGGAGAAAGCCAAAAACCTACTAGAGCACTAAAATAATGTGTTTCATGACATATTAACCACGTAATTAGCATTAATAATTTAATGCTAAACGCCTATTATGAGTCATTTAATTATTATGGAGTGCATTGTTAGGTTGTGTTAGGTAGAATAAATTAGTACTAGCTATATGTCTGTAATTATCATTAATTTATTTGTCATATCATCTATTTTTATTAAGTAAGATGGACATGAAGCAAAATTGAATCATTAGTCATATAACGTAGCCTAATAGAGTAGTAGATAAACCTTCTAGAATGAAAATTGAGCAAGAAGAAATGTTCTGGCCGGTTATTTTGTGAAAAATAGAGAATATTATAAAATATCAACTTTTTGTAATTTTAACTAATAGATAATTTATATATTGAAAATTATAAAAGTCAAAAGTTACAATTAATGTCATCGACTCATCGTTATACAGATGAACATACTTTGAGCAACAACCAGATACGGAGTATCACGTTTACATCACCCAAAAACCCCATAACTCCTAAAGATCGTAACTCTAATGACAAATTGACAATATGATACGTACAATTTTTTTTTCATATTCTTAAAAATAGAAAGTATATTAAGGTAAGCCTAAATACCAAAAATGGCCATAGTTGTAGGTTTGTTCATGGAACATGTGTAGGTTATGCAAAGTGTAAATGTAGTCATTGGCAAGGTGGAACAAAAAGGAGAATATACTACTCGTATTTTAATTGGTTACTCCCTTCCTTTTTAAATACTTGCTCCTTTTCAATGAATAGATTATTAATTTTTAATTGTTAAAATATATACTTATTGATAATTAAAGATACTATTGATCAAAGATTAGCATCAATATACGTGCCCAAAAAAAATGAAGCAAGTATTTGAAAACGGAGAGAATACTAGTTTTTCTAATTACATTTGATGAACAAGGTGGGCCAGTGGGCCGGGTTATAAATGTTGTACATCAAATTGATGGGCCTTCTTTTTCTGGCTTTATTAATGAATGAGGGTATAGTCTCATTTACACCCTTTGATCAAAATCTCTAGTTCTCAACTTCCTCATTAACTCACAATATGACAATATTCATTCGATGCAAAAATACATTAGTAGCATACTAGCATGTCACGTCATTTATCTTCTTTGGTGTAATTGTTTCTAGAGGTGTCAAAATCACACCCTATCCAACTCGATTAGAAATCGAGCCGAAAAATTAATATCCGATTTATATTTGGACTCGTGTGGACACAATAATTTTGCATGACTCAACTTTAAAAATTGACCCAATCCGACCTCATCAAACCCGATCCGATCACCGAAATGACACCTCTAATTGTTTCTATAATTCATTCTTAATTTGATAATTGTTTACAATTTATTTCGTATTCAAGTAGTATAATCATGATCGAGTTTATCGCTTCAAGTGTGATTATGACTGTATATACTTTGTTCTTAATTTGAACGAAATTAAAGCATCTGACCTGATGACACTTCTTAAGGCTAAATCTCAGTATAAGATATATATTCTTCGTACAACAATAGAAAGTACATACAAATAGTACATTAATGTTTAGACATCAATCTTCCTAATTTTCTTTGAATTTGGGGGCTTGGGAACCACGTGCAACAAACAAATTGGGAAATTGGCTTAGGCTTAGCTTGTTTCACACCAAACAAATTGTCTTACCAGACTTTTTATGAGAAACTACCTCATAAAACTAAAATTTTGGTGAGAAACTACCTAATAAAAAAATGTTGTAAGAAACTACCAAATAAAAGGTAAAATGTTGTAAGATATTACCTTTGACCGAATTTCCACCTTTGACTTAATTTTATGACTTTAATCCACCTTAAAACACCCCCGAAACCACCGTGAGGGTTGGTTTTGAAGGTGCAAGATTATTTTCAGGGTGGTCGGAGAAAATTCCGAGTTGGTGGGGGTATGGTAGATTAGTGCTTCGGGATGGTGATTTTTGGGGTTAGAGGTGGTGCTTTTGGGGTAGAAAGGTGGTTCAGGTCTGGTGGCGATTTCAAGCAAGTTGTGTTAGTTTTGGGAATGAAAGCGGTGGTTTCGATAGTGTTTTGATGTCGGTCAATGGTGGAAATCCGATATAGGTAGTATTTTGCAACATTTTACCTTAGTCTCAAGGCGTAGTTTTTTACAACACTAGTACATTTTACCTTTATTAGGTAGTTTATTACAACATTTTTTTATTAGATAATTTCTCACAAAATCTGGATTTTATTAGATAGTTTTTGACAAAAAGTCCTATCTTACCTTTGTCTTGCTTAAGCTTAAGCAAGCTCATTTACAACTCACAAGACCAAATAACACTCATAAATCAACTTTCAAGTACTTGATGCTAAGTACTCAATTTCTTAAGATACGCTCCTATTACCTAAGAATTTACTTGCCCCTGGGTTGTAATTAAAAAATCTATAATTATCTTCTACGCGTGTCTTTGAGTTGTCACAATACTAGTATAAATCTTATACTTTGCCCTAATTAAATTATCACAATACTAATATAAATTATAACTGATGGAGCATTAATTAAAGAATATCGTCTAATTATGCTCCCAAGCGAAGGACTAAATCTCAACGTTCGATTCAGGCAACAACTTGATTTCGAAAAGTGCATGCTATATAGCCTCCCACTTATCTACATGTCTGCTTGCTTTGTTAGCCTGCGATGTGAGCATACATAACACAATATCAGTTGTTATCTATGGAAGTTAAGAGTTTAAATAAACCATATACAAAGTATATATATACAAACAATAAGCAAATACGATCCATTCATTAAACTGACATATATATACAAGTATAAGGTCAATTTTGGATCTGATCAAATTTGTTACCTCTTTCTCCCAGTTGCATCTCATTGTAATAATGCCTAATATCATTGTTTGAACTGCAGTTCCTACAATCATTCCGCCCCATATACCCTATGTATTCGATCATAAATTTGTCAAATTTTCAAATATTAATTGTATCATCGGACTGGAAAGAAACAAATTAGAATGCTAAAATGTGAAAGGTAAATATTTACGTACCGTAACACCTCCATGTAATGTCCATCCCAGCAAAAGGCCTAGAGGGATGCCTATGAGATAGTAACTACCAATATTAACGTACGCCACAGTACTTTGCCACCCTGATCCGACCGCAACACCTACAAGAAAAGAACAAAAAGAAAAAAAAAAAAAAACATATGGGTTGAGCACAAATAGTATGCATTTTGAATTATTTCATTTTTCGATTTAGACGACTAAGTATGTTACGGTAGTATACGTAATTTATAAAATGGACCATGTGGCGTCAAGTATGTAAGAATTGATTTATAGTATAAAGATATCGATGGTTAAGTATGTTGCATACAAAATACACTTGTTGCACACTAGACTTTAAAACTAATTTCAGTTCAGTAAAATTAATTTTAGTTTAGCAAAAAATTAATTTCAGTTCAGTAAAAATTTGTAACTTAAAAGAAGAAGTATAATAGAAAATCAATAAAACAGGGCCTTACAACATAGGTAAGTGTTTTAGAAATTTAAGAACTTACCGGAGAGAACGGGTTGGAGACTGTTGAGGAGGATGGTGAAAGCCAAAAGGACAGAGAGTTTATCAACCTCCTCAAGAACAGGTTGGCTGTTTGAGAAAATTAAAGCCAATTTGTCGTGGAAAATCATAGCCAAAAGCCAGAAGACAACCCCTATTGCTATGGAGGTCGTGGATGCTACTATGGTTGCAAATCTAGCGCCTTTTCCATTCCCAGCTCCTAGTTCATTTGCTACTCTTACGCTGTTTATTCATCATCAAATTAAAATTATAATTTTCAATTTATGAAACATGCAAGTTGTTAAGCATTACATAATACTTGTACTCCGTATAAATTAAATAACCAATCAATCCCAAATAAATTGTAAGTTTTAAATTATCTCAAAATAACTGTACATATACAAACATTGAAACATACAAAAGGAAATTACTATTGTCTCTTTTTTTTCCCCATCGGCTTGAAGTATGCAAGAGAAAAGTGGTGAGATGACCAAATGTAATTGGTGGGAGAGTATAGTAAGGTCTCATAATACGAGGAACTATTTATTGTATGGGGCAAACGTCAAAGAACAAGCCAAAAAGAAAATTGAGACAAATATATTTAAAAACAAAAGGAATAGTATGGCAGTACCCCTTAAAAAAGAATCACAAGTAACAACGAAACACGTACTTGGTCATCAGTATATCGTTACGTACCCTAACTATACCAGGGCATCCAATAAAAGCAGAACAATATATATTAGGGTAATTAATAAGCAATTCAAAATTTCTTACATACCCAACACCAGCAAAGAACGCAAAAGGTATCATTATTTCCCACTGGTTGATGCTGGTGCTACAAAACAGAAACAGTGAACCAGAATGTTCAAGTTAGAAAAGGAGCTTATCAGAAAAGACAAAGTGAAAACCAAACTTGTATCATTGCTTGTACACTACCACATGAATGAAGAATCACATCACAAAGGTCACGTAAGTTTTCCAAAAAAATTGCATGGACCAGTACTTAGATGTCTGTGGAACTATTATTGAACTTGATTTTTGGCTGTTTGTTGCGCCTGTTTTTTTCTATCCCACATGATACTATATATATATATATATATATATATATATATATATAATAATCATTAAAGATAATGGAGAAAGTATTATTACTTTCTTGAAATCTTTTAACTATCATATTTTGTCACTATTTACATAATTTCAATTATTGATGCTAACAATATAAGCTATAAAAACAAATTTAAAAAACAGAAAATCACAAGTACTATACCTTGAATCTAACAAAATATCACATTCTAACATGCATGCATACAAATCTACTCAAGTATGAGTATAAATCACTAATAATCTAAAATCATATCAATAATAAATAAAGCCGGTCTCGCAGCCAGGCCACGAGACAACGACACTTGGCATTTCAGTTTTTCGCCAAGTGTCGCGCCACGTAGGAGATAAATAGGTATTATTTTGACACATGATACTAAGTAAGCGATTTTTGGATAGGTTTTTTAAGATAAAATTATTATATAGAGTTTTATTATCGATATAATTCTAATATTTCATATATACAAAATTAATCATAACTTTTAATAAATATCCTATAACACAATTCTATTTTCATCATTAAATTTGTTTTAAAAAGTTCTTTAAAATAAGATCCATTATAATATATTTAATCACAAACTTTTATACGTAGCTGGCGAAACCATGTCACCAACTATTACAAGAGTTACTTCGTTAGTGCTATAGGAGTTACTTGGTCAGTGTTATAGTGGTTACTCAATCAGTGTTATACATAGGGGTTACTTAGTCAGTGTTAGAGGTTACTCAGTTAGTATTATAGGGGTTACTCAATTAGTTTTATAAGGGTTACTTTGTCCGGCTAGATGGTGTGGCTAGCCGCATACAAAATGCATTGTTATTTAATTTATTTAAAAAAAATTAGAGAATCACAATTAATTTTAGTTTGGTAAAAATACTTTTAGTTCAATAAAAATAATTGAAGTTCATTAAAAATAATTTCAAGTCAATAATAATATAAATATCTACTTACAAACAAAACTGCAAAAAGTATTAATATATAAATATAAGCCATATGATATCATATGTCTAAATATCCAACATTATCAGAACGAATTATTTGACCGTATTCAACATAAAGTAAAAATGTTATCTTAAAATTTTATCAACCATCTGGGCATCGCCCGAGCACAAAACTAGTATGTATATAAAGGGGAGTTTTTTTACCGAGTTTTTAGAGTCACATAGGACAGAAATTTCTTAACGCGCCATGTAAGATTATAAATTTTAGTGATGGCCAATCAAATAAGAGATTTGTAATTTCTTTTAGAATTATATAATTCAAATGCCACATAAGCAAAATTGGCGAATGAGATTTTAAAGTTTAAATTAATTAAATATAATATATTATCTTTTGAAATTAGGAATTTTATCTAAATATATAACAAATGAATGGAAAGTCACAATTTATAAATACAAAAAAAAAAAAAAAAAAAAAAAAAAAAAAAAAAAAAAAACTTGTTTTAAAAAAATACAAACAAATCGTGCATTGCACGAGCTTTATCCAGTATTAGTTAGAATAGAGTCTATATAAATAGTTTAATATGTTTAAATAACTAACAATAGATTTACGAAGTTCCAATAATCCAAAGGAAAATCAGTGAGAATTATCCCATGTCGGTGAGGAGAACAAGAGGTAGATATAAAACAATTTTATATGAAAAATATTTACTGTATAAATGTTCTACTTCTCTTGTTCTCCTCACTAATGTGGGATTATAAGATACTTAAAGTATGGCTTATTTGGAGCGTCTAAAATATTAATAAATACGGTTTTTTCATCAAATACCACTAGTTTTAACATAATTCACCAAATACCACTAACATTTTTCAAATTCACCATATAACATTCAGTTTTATGAAAATGTCACAACATGTCATTAATGACTAACGGACATTAACACCGTTAGTCATTAAGGCTAATAATGCCACGTGGCAGTTTGTGATTGGGTCCCTTCTAAATTATTTAATTTTAAAATAGTTAATTAATTATCAAAAAATAAAAAATAAAAAAAACCAGCCACCACCAACAACAGCCCCCGCCAGCATAGAAGAATAGGACCCCCTTGCCGGCGTGGAATCCGACCAGGAACCTCGCCGGCGCTCCTCCCCCTCCCCTGAACCGTCGTGCCCGGCCGCCCGCATCTCCCTCGAAAAACTCTCCCTTAACCGTCGTGCTAGCATCACCTCAAAAAACTCTCCCCTAAACACCGGTCGACGCCCAAACCCCCCTCCCCTGCGTCGGCGAACGAATTTGCCCCGTCCCGATGCCATCTCTACCCCACTGAACCACCACATACGCCGAAACCCTAAAACCAAAATCTAGGGTTTCGATTTTGGTGTTTTGGGGTTTCGTGGTGGTGGTTTTCGGCAAGTTAGGCGGCGGCGACTTGTGGGAGAGGGTTTGGGCTGCCGACGAAGGGGTTTCGGGGTTGGGGTTGATTTTCGGCTAAGGTGGAAAGGCGGGGAGGGGTTGAATTCGACGAAGGTGATGGTTGAGTTTTCGGCTAAGGTGGTGGCTGGGGTCGGGGTTGTCGCCGTCGGGGGAGGGGGATGGTCGTCGACCAGCCGGAAAGTGGATGGGTGAGGATTGTCACCGGCGGTGGCTTGTACTGGTGGTGTTTTATTTATTTATTTAATTTTTTAAATAATTTTTCTTAAGTTAATTTATTAAATAAATAATATTAATAAGAACCAATTACAAGCTGCCACATAGCATAGAATAACTAACTGAGTTAACAGAAATGGCATGCTGTGACATTTTCATAAAACTGAATTTTATATGGCGAATTTGAAAAATGTTGGTGGTATTTGGTGAATTATGATAAAACTCAGTGATATTTGGTGAAAAAACCGTAATAAATAAATAAAATGAAAAATTTACTATTTAAAGGGAGACAAATTATAGTAGTAAAAATAAAAATTATCATACCATATTGACAAAGCATCCAAGGCTATATCTGCATTCTTCAAATTTCCTGTCATCAACACCAATGCTGTAGAGTACCAGTACTCCAAACTGCCCATGCAATACACAATTAATATTGACAACATACAAGATGATTCTATCATTGATTGTAGAACAAATTTTTCAGTGCAACATTCAAGACGAAATATTATGGCTCCATTATCCACTTCGCATTATAACAATTTATGCTTCCAAGAATAAGAAATCCTTATAGGCTTATAATATGGAAAACGATACATAACAGAATAACAATTTAAGTACTACTCCCACCATTCCTTTGTACGAAGTATATAATCAGATCATGCTCTGTTCAGTTTTTTTTTTTTTTTTTTTCTAAACTGAAATTCTTTTTTTATTAAACTTAAATTATTTTTATTGTATAGAAAATATTTTTACTAATTCCCTTTTTTTTTTCCTTAATTTTATTTCACCATTGTTATCCAAGATTGTTGATTACAACTAATTATTCATAGGAAAAAAAAAACAGGTTAAAAATGCTAAAAATTGCATGTTACTTTAAGTTTTTGTATTAGAAATTGTATCTTACTTTTATTAAGAAAACAAAATTGTTTTTTTAATATATAAAATAAAAAAAAGACCACCTATAAGCATTAAATATATCTTTTAACTTAGTATAAAATACTTGGATTGCATTTTACTTATCATGAGAAAACAAAATTGAATGTATTTTTATATAAAGAGTATTTTTCTAATATTCTTGGATTACAAATAGTGCAAAATTCAAATTGTTGTAAAATAATTACCAGATCATGACGCCGGAAGCAGTAGAGAGCTTGATAAATTCCCATAGACCAGAAAAGGCTTCCATAGAGAAACCAGCCCAACAAAGGGGACAACCACCCCAAAAAACAATGTACCCAAACAACACCAAAGCTTGTATCCACCAAGCCAAGCACAAAGCAATGGCTACACCCATTACACCCCACTCGAGTACCGTGACCAATATCCATGAATCGATAATTTGAAAAATGATACCAACTACCGAAACCCATGCCATGATCCCGGGCTGCAGCTGGCTTTGAAGGAACGTCTGTAGCGGGAAGAGGAACGGGAAACATAGGTGCAATGGTATTAGACACAAGGTCACTGTCCCGGCTAGATCCGCAACATGGTCCGGTTGACCCAATAGCTTTAATAATTGGGTTGAAAAAATGAACAAAGGTAGTAAAAGTATAGAAAATGTGAACAAAACTATCCATGACCTTTGCATGTACACACCCAACATGTAATACTTTTTTGCACCATATGCCTGTCCACATAACGTCTCTAGTGCACTTGCCATTCCTACCTGTTAAATCCAATCACAATTATATTATATAATAAAATTTCGCACATTGACAAACACACAAGTCAAAATGAAATAGCCAAAAAAATTTACTTTTTCATATGTTGTTTTTGCTGGTCTTTTATAATTTTCACTTATTAATTTCATGGTTATCATATTCTAATTAATAAAAGGTTCTATCAATTTAATTAAGTTAAGATAACCAAAGTTAATTATGTTCAAATAAGTAAAAATTAGATGAGTCTCTACCAAAATTCTCCAAAACCTGAATTCTCACAACCTTTACAGTGTTTACACTCCCACATTAAACAAATAAAATATGGAGTAGTTTCTACACTCTCCGATTCTTTTCGATGTTTTTGTTTGAAATTTTCTTCTAAATCATTCCCATCAATATATACAGAGATATTAATGTCATGTAGAGGTGTGTTAGACATGTCTTAATGGTGTACTTTGGGACTATCAAAATTTAAAAGTTTTCTATTATATTTATATGAAATTAACGGTTATTAAAAATAGTGTCTAGACAAACATCAATAGTCAAAAGATGAACATAAATAATGAAGGGATCGGAGTTCTTTCATTCTCTTACGCCCTCAGCTTTTATTTTAATTAACTTCCCTTTACATTTTGCGCAATCTTTAATGTTGTACTTTAAACATTAATATCTTTAATTTCGTATAAATTTGTAAAAAATACTCCGTATAAAAAAGTTGATACTATACTATGAAAACAAAAATAAATTTGAAATGAATCTAATATGATCCACCTAATAATGTTTTTCTTATTACTCATAAATAGAAATCACAAAAGACAACTAATGTTTATAAAGTTTGACAAAGTAAATAATACGGAGTAAATAGGAAAATTAAAAAATTAATAAAAAAAAAAATTAAAATAACGAATTTTCTTTTCAACATCCAATGCATTAGAACAAATACGCTCTCTTTAAAGATAGTACGGAGTACTTCAGGTGGAAACAAAAGGTTGGTAGCTTTAGCAATTTTGTCGAGTTGATTATTAATAGTTTACATTGAAAAAGGGTTAGTTGGTTTTACGTCTTAACAAGCGTCAAATTAGTGGTTAATTGCTGATTAGATTTGAGTCACACACACATATAAATACTTTCTCTGCTTAATTATTTTTAAAACATATATTCTTTTGACACGCATTTAAAAAGAATATAAATAAATAAAATAAATGTGAGAGAGGATCAAATTACTAATCACAAATTATTTTAATAATTTTGTTCTCCTAACTTCTCTTTTATTTGGTGTTTAAAGAGTCACAAACGGCGAGTTATGAGAATCGATCCCAGGATCATCTGGAACCGGGAGGGGAGCTTTAAACACCTGAGATATCCCTCACTCTCTTCTCCTAACTTCTCTAATCTTTACCATTTCCATGTTACAATTTATTTAAAAAAAAAAAAAAAAAAACCTAGAATTTTGACCACTTATAACTTGTACTCCATAAGCCGTATATCTCTTAGGGTGTGTTTGGTTCATCAAGTTGGAATGGATTGATATGGAATCTCACACTAGAGAGATATGGATTCCAAAATCCATACTAGTCCAATGTTGTTTGGTTTTATCGTTGGAATGGATTATATCCTTCATTAATCGAATGGATTGTGAATCTTAGAGGAAGGGGTTGGTATGGGATTTTATGGGTGTGATGGGGAGCTAAAACCCCTTGGATATGAGATTTCATTACTAAAAACCTCAAACAAACAAAAAATTAGATGGAATGAATTCTAACTTCATTCCAATCCATTCCAAATGATCCAACCAAACAACCCTTAATAAGGTTCACTTTAATAAATGGAATCGAATCGTTTTATCACTAATGCCGCGGAAGATAACGTTGACTGGATAGGATTAAATGATTAATCATCTTATTATCTCACAATAATTCACAGAAAAAATAGAAAATTTCTTTTTGTTAATTACGCTTAAACCATTTTTCTCTTATAAAACGAATTCAAATGTGAAAAACAAAAAAAAGAACGGAGATTGTAAACACTGAATCAAGAAATAACTTGTACACCGTATTTAATTTGAGTAAAAGAGTGTAGTAATACCAATAGACCACAAGTAAGACCGACGATGACGTTGGAGCCGAGGGAGATGGCAGCAAGTTCAGCATCACCGATGTGGCCGGCGAAGGACTGAGCGATGACGAACAACGTGTAGGCCGCGATACGAGTAACGATAGTCGGACCAACAATGTGCCATAGCTTCTTAGATTCAATCCATACCCGCTTAGAAAGAGCGAGGTCGTCGTAAAAATAATCATAATTTTGTGTTACACCTTCATTTGATGTTGAATCGTTATTTTCTGACATCAAAGGAATTGCTTGGTCTAATACCATGTGTTTGGGTCCAATTTAGTCCAATTGGGCCTAGGCATTAAAGAATCCAATTAAAAGTCCAAGGTCAAGGTTCATCTCTCCAATTGTGCTAAAGTCAAAGATCAGTCCTCAAGGCAAGCCAATTGGGCTAAGGCCCAACTTCTCCATATATGCAAAGGTATAAAAGCCATCAATATTACATTTGTACATTCATTCAAGAAAAGCCTCAAGCAATTAATTCTCTTGCATAGTGTTCTCTTTCTACACACTGTACTGACTTTAGCATCGGAGGGGCCTTCCTCGGCAACACCCCCGAGGCTAGTTTACGTGTGTTTACTGTGCAGGAAACCTTCGGCCAAACATCACTTGGACCGAATCCAGTCTTCTCCACTTCATCGGACCTTCGACAAGGTCCCATTGTTTTCACCCGAAACAATTTGGCGCCGTCTGTGGGGAGACGAGTACTACTACCCATGAAAATCCACTAATTCATGGCTACTGTGTTCTATCACGAAAAAGGGTCAAAATTTCTAGCAAATTTAACCCAAAATTATTACTCCTATCAAAAGGGGTAATCATTCTTGCAAATGGTGGAGATGATAGATAAACATTTTAATTTGTCGCCAATTTAACCACTACTAACAAGGTACTTCGTGCCTTTACAAAAAAATTGGGAAATATTCCATGAATATGGTCAAACCTTAATTATTCTTGAAGAAGAATAAAAGCTAGATCTACGTGGCTCTAATGGAAAGCTCACAAAAGCAAGCCTTTCATTCACACCACCAAGTTGAAGAGGCAGCAGGTGGCATGAAACATACATAAAAAATCAATCAAGTTTATGTAAATTCAATGCTTGCCAAAGGAAATTGCCATTGTCTTCATCACAAGCTTCAAGGCTCACAACTCCACCACTAGAACGACTCACCATTTCATCCTAGGCAACACATGCCGAGGTCAATGGGGGTCAAGGCTAGTATTGTGAAGTGAGCCAAATCTCTTCACATCACATCTAAAGTAGCAGCCGAAGAAGATCCGAGGTTGTCTACCATTGTTGAAGCTTAAAAAAGCTCAAACTATCACCAATCTAAAAATCCGAAGCAAATAGCTCGGATAAGCAAAAAGAATCCGAAGCTCATCGAGCCGAGGCTATCCGAAGGTGTTTCAGCCCAAGCCGAAGGTGTTCTGGGCAAGCCAGCCGAGCCGAGACTGGTGTTTCAGCCAAGCCTAAGGCTTTTCAGCCGAGACCGAAGGAGTTTCAGCCCAAGCCGAAGGCGTTCTGGGCGAGTCGAAGGTGATTCAGCAGAAACCAAGGGTGGTACAGTTTACCGCTCCCAAGTTAAGGTCGGTAACCATTGCCGAGCCGAAGCTCACCTCTTATCTCCTGGCCGAGGCTAGCCATAGCCGAAGCCGAGCCCAGCCGAGGTTTACCTTCGCCGAGATTCGAGCTCCCAGCCGAAGCTCACAACCATATGAGCCGAGGGTGCTGCCGAAGATGGTTTGTCTGAACCGAAGAAGGTTCATCCAAGCCGAAGCTCATACGAGCTAATGCTAGAGCAACCAAAGCAATTAGCTTCGGCAGTCAAGTGCAATTGGCTCAAATTGTACCCGACCTCAACCTACATCAAATCTGATGATAACAAGTCAGAAGAAAAATTTACCTTTTGACCATTTTCAAAGAGCTATAAGCCATAAAAAAAAACTACCTTTGTCAGGGTAGATGGCCAGAAGCTTTCTTACCTACGGCTACTACTTTTATCAAGTAAATGGCTTCGGGCCCACTTTCATCAAAGCCCATCTATCAAATTGCTTCAGCAAAGAAAAATGGCTCTTAATTTTTCGAGTCAATATTTTCCTCAAAAAAAAAAATATCATCAACTATCCTCACGATGACGATGATAAAATTAATCATCAATCTTCCTCACGATGATGATGATTAAAAAAAAAAAAACAACTTTTTCTATCCTCGGATCAAGGGTAAACTCTTTTTATCCTCGGATCAAGAGTAAACTCTTTTTGTCCTCGGGTCAAGAGTAATAAATTCTTTTTATCCTCGGATCAAGAGTAAACTCTTTCTATCCCCGGATCAAGAGTAATAAACTCTTTCTATCCTCGGATTAAGGGTAAACTATTTTTATCCTAGGATCAAGAGTAAACTCTTTCTATCCTCGGATCAAGGGTAAACTCTTTCTATCCTCGGATCAAGAGTAAAACTCTTTCTATCCCCGGATCAAGAGTAATAAACTCTTTTTATCCTCGGATTAAGAGTAAAACTCTTTCTATCTTCGGATCAAGAATAAACTCTTTCTATCCTCGGATCAAGAGTATTAAACTCTTTCTATCCTCGGATCAAGAGTAATTAACTCTTTCAATCCTTGGATCAAGAGTGTTGCCTCAGATGAACTCTTTCAGTCCTCGGATCAAGAGTAATTAACTCTTTCCATCCTTGGATCAAGAGTGTTGCCTCGTATGAACTCTTTCATTCCTCGGATCAAGATTAATTAACTCTTTCAATCCTTGCATCAAGAGTGTTGCCTCGGATGAACACTTTCAGTCCTCGGATCAAACCTTGGATCAAGAGTGTTGCCTCGGATGAACTCTTTCAGTCCTCGGATCAAGAGTAATTAACTCTTTCAATCCTTGGATCAAGAGTGTTGCCTCAGATGAACTCTTTCAGTCCTCGGATCAAGAGTAATTAACTCTTTCAATCCTTGGATCAAGAGTGTGTTGCCTCGGATGAACTCTTTCAGTCCTCGGATCAAGAGTAATAACTCTTACAATCCTCGGATCAAGAGTGTTGCCTTGCATAAACCTGAACAAATAAAGTCCTTCGACTCAATTTCTATGAACGAATTATTTGGGAAATTGAAACAAAACCCAACTCATTTTTTCAAATAGAATTGGGTCTCGGGGGCTAATTGTTTGGGTACTAAAATGGTCATACCCATTTTAGTCTTGGGTAACTCTACCCATATAAGCCCAAAGGGCATAAAAAAGGTATAAAAGGCCCCAAATAAGTCAAATACATCAATATGGCCTTCAACGGCCCACATATGTAATTTTAGGGCTCATAAACCCACTTATGTACTCATATAAATACCCCTCAAAGGGCATAAGGTAAAAAGAGGTCACTCTTATCATCTAAGATGACCATACTCCTCCACTCTCTCCCCTAAACTCCTCTGAAAATATGCATTGTTTGGCAACTAACTTGGACGTCGGAGGCTCCGCCCCGGGTTCAACCCCCGGGGCTCGGGGTTCATTTTGCAGGTCCATTCAAGGCCCAAATTCGAGGTTCTCAGACACCCCTCCAAGGCCCGGTTAGCTCATTTTTTTGCCGAAACACCATGGTAGCCAGATTTACTTGATTGAGAGAAATTACACGATAGAGAGAGGTTTTTTCTTTTTTTTGGGATACAAGAACGATAAAAACTATGGTCAATTTGATTAAAATGTTATACTATAAGAGTAAGACAAACTTTTTGAAATTATTGGATCGTATATCATTTTGTTATTGATTAAGGATGTTAGGAACTTTGGTCACGTGGTACACACACTATGCTTATACTAATACATTACTAAAAACTGCTAATTAGCTGTCATAACTCATATGAAGAACTAAAGAGTACTCCATAATAAATTAAAATCTACCGTACACCTTAGTAAAGGGTCCCGTCTGACAACTTTTTCAATTGAAAACGTTTGCTCAAATTTTGGTTTTATACTTTATCATCCTTTCAAATCAATATTGGCCATATTGCTTTTAACTCGCCTTGTCTAGATGCATGAACATGAAATAGCATAAGTTGTTCAGAGCAATCCGATATTCATCCTAATTAAAAGCAACTTTAAATCTCATTTGTGGGCAATTGTGGGTATAGTATAGGTCTCCTCATACTCAATGCTAATACTTCAAGTTTGCTCCACATTAAAACAAAGTTTTAACTTTTACTTGATATATTAATTTAATTTATTTTAGATGACAACCTGCTTTGATTTTAAATGTAGTTAAAAGGGGAAAAGAACACTCACACAATATTGTTAAACTAATTTCTTCATGTACAATGTCTTAAAAAAATAAAAATAAAAAATAATTTAAAAGATATTGGCCTAGTTAATAACAAATACTGAAGGCATATGTATTATAAATGAACATATTTAAAAGACATTGGCCTGGTTAATAACAAATACTGAAGGTATGTATATGATAAGTCATAGATTTGAATCGGCCTCTAATAGTATCCACTTAAAATTTATACAGAGTAACGAAATATGAAAATCAACATAACCTCACCTATTTAATGAACATGTGATGTAATGTATTGTAATAATAAAAAATTTCAACATACTTTTAAATGCATGTCATGCATCATGTTTAATCACTTTAACGTTGATAAGGACAATAGGACATGAATCTGATTTGACTACTAACCAAACTTAATTTTATACGAAACTTTTTAATATAAAATTTTTATTTACAGGGTTTGAAGTTGCAAATAGAGGATGTTGTGGCACTGGAAGTATAGAGGTGACTTTGGTTGTGGCACTGGAAATATAGAGGTGACTTTACTATGTACAAAGTTTGCTGTTGGTACTTGCAAAGATGCCTCAAAGTTCCTCATACTCAATGCTAAATACTTCAAATTTGCTCCACATGTTAAAACAAAGTTTTAACTTTTACTTGATATATTTAATTTAATATATTTTAGATGACAACCTGCTTTGATTTTAAATGTAGTTAAAAGGGGAAAAAACACTCACACACTATTGTTAAACTAATTTCTTCACATACAATGTCTCAAAAAAATAAAAAATAAAAATAAATATTAAAAAAAAATCTTCGCATACAAATATATACCTAGTTTATAGAAACACAAACAACTCATGCCACATATCACCTTCGTCAATATTTCTTTTTTTATATGTAAAAAGACCTACCTCGTACAATTTTTTTTTTCCCCACAAGTATATTGAATTACCAGCACTTCTATTCTCTCCTTTCTAAACTATTCTTATTTCCA